AATAAAACGAAATAGCCTTAAGAATAAAACTAATAAGAGAGAAGTATTATATTATAAATTAAGGGTACTTAAAGTAATTAGCCGAAGGTATAAGCTACTAATAACAGACAAGAATAAGGCCTAATAGAATTACAGGTCACGTGATAAAATCAAATGAAATTAGTTTAATTTAACTTAATAGATTAAAGGGGAAAACTAATCTAATATAAGGGATTAAATACGCTTTACCTAATCTAAAATTATAATAAAGAGGTAAACAAGTACTTAAGAAGAAGGTATTCCTATAATTAGGTAATTTAAATCTCTATTAATTAATTTAAGTAATAGTTTTACTATTAAGAGTTATACTCTTAATAGCCTTATTATAATACTACTTAAAAGCTACTTTATAGCATTTAACTTAACTTACTTTCTAAGAAATAAACCTACTATACCTTAGAACCTAAGCTACCGTTACATTTATATACACCTTTATAGTCGCGCCCGCTTTTAAAAAAATCAATTAGTATTTAAACTAAGGCTGTAACGTAGAACTCGAGTATTATTTTAGGGAAAAGTCCTTAAAAAGAGAATTAATATTAACTTATAATACAAATTCAAATATATATTACTTGTTAAGTTATATTCTAAAATTCAGCTTTTAATTTAATTTTCTTTATTTTATTTTTTATAACTTAATAACTTATACGTTTATATTTAACTTTATAGTATAAGTTACTAGTAAAAATTATAATCTACTTTATATAATTAATAACGAAAGTTTTTTACAATAGCTTTTATTAATATATGCTATAATAAGTTATCAATTTAAGTAATATATAATAAGAATAGACCTAGGATATAAACCGATTAGATAGAGAAATAAGAGAGAACTTTATTCTCAAGTATTCTATAAATATAATCTCTTAATATTATACCTAATACTAAGAGTTTTAACCTCAACAGGTGTTTACTTCTCAGTGCTCAGTGCTCACTGCTCAGTGCTCACGTAGGCAGCGATAGGTAGGCTCTAGTAACTTTAATACTATTATTTATATTATAAATTTATAACTTAATTATTTATAGTGTTTTTTTAAATTATAATTGTATCACCAGTTTTTATTAATATTTTTTCAAGAAACCCCTTATTACTAGAATAATATGTATGAAATTGTATACTGGGGCGTGGCAGGTTAGGGTGTGGGCCCGAAATCAGGGTGGGGCGGGAACACGAATACAACGTTGTATAATGCATGCGAAGAAAGCTTACCCCTCGCGGCCGGTGGTTTTCCCATCAACTGGTTTTATCAGCTTGGTAGGAACAACTCGATTGCTGGCCCTCTATATGTCGGCCTCCTTTGGTTCGATGAATGAAATACTAGACCGTTAATTGATCAAAACCTGGTGCAGACGGTTAAAGTAGAGACCAGTGCTAGATCAAAGGCCCGCCCGTTTACTATGGAACAGAGGGATCATTGATTATAGCGGCCTGGCGTCTATCGGCCATGACTTCAATTGCCGACTCGTGTATCCTCTGCCTTCTGGTATCTTACCAGTACACCTTATTAACGGACTTGTAAAGTTGAGAGTACCCTCCTCAAATAGTCATCGTCATCATTGCCTAGCTTCTTGTCACACGGTCAAAGCTCAATAACCTCACCGCCCAACAAGGGGCATCGCCGATACAGGACCTGGAGGTTACACAGACTAGACACATGACCCGCTGGGAGCCTGAGGCACAGCTGTTCTTTTCTTGTATCCCTTTGAATGTGCGCAGGTGCCTGTCATGTATCTACTCCGCTTTTCTGCGATACTCGACAAGTACATCTCTTGTGAGGGTTAGCTTCTTGTGTGACGGACCACGGTAACTAACATATATAAAACTAAGAATACTTTTTTTTATCACATAAATTCTGAGGTAACTTAAGTACCTTTTAATTTAATATCTCTAAGTGGTTAGCATCCTTGGTCGTTACAAAAATGGCCCCTGCGCGCATTCAAAGGGATGTATCCCTTTGAATGTTATAAGGGGCCAGCGAGGTCCCTTACGAGGATAATATCCAATGAGAATTAAGCGTTACGAGAGTACACATATACTCACGTATTCGTTATAATAATAAAAGTACTCTTAATCGTCCCTGGTACATTACTTGGTAATATTTTATTAGGCCTAGTACAAGTAGAAATACTCGACAAGGGTATTCTGGAGTAGATACAAAGGCGGCACTTCCTCTTGGAAAACAAGGACCTTTGACATCCAACAAGATTATCAATGAATAGAGTCATTCCACTCCAAGCCCTTGATATCAAGCCCTTGTCACACTTCTGTCCTCATTCATCAGTATTGGAAGGGTTTACCAAACACTGCTGCTGCTGGTAACTGTGCTCTGCTCGATATACACGCCAACATGTTCATTCGTTGGTCGGCCGGGCTTGTTACGGCTCTGGCTGCGAAAAAAATCCACGGCAGCGTTATACCACATACACACCAAAACAGATGACGATTCTGGCCTGTGAGCGTCGTTTGTCAGCCTTTCTTTAGAATTTTCGTCGTTTGTAGACTATGCCGGTACGGGTCAAGGTCCGCTGCCGCCCCAATTAACAAACTCTCAGGGAACTTGAGCACACCAAATACGTTTTCCTACAATTTACCGAGTAATCTCGCCAATCTAGTGGGCAGCAAGCCCTACGTGCGAGTTGGGGACATTACACAAGACTATGCATTATACAATGCATCTCTCAAAGAAGCCATCAACGGAGCATATGATCCAAACAAGTCCAAGGACTACCCCACAACTGTATACATCGGGGACTCGTTTTTCAAATCATAGAATACATGGCCGGGCGTCAGGTTTTCCCACGGGTTTAACCTCGCAAAAGGAGCTGTCAGTGTAGAAGGCTGGGAGACGCTCGAGCGCACAGCAGCATTGGCTTGCAAAGCCTTGAGCAATGAAAATCATGACGTGTGGGAGTATGGAAATGAGCCGAATCACTTCCCGACTTCTTCTCAGGGACCTTCCCGTCCCACGGGTTGGAGTGCGAAGGACTTTGCTAATGAGTGGCTCAACGGAATGCTGAGATCAAGAAGCAGATAAGAAAGCATTGCCCAAAACTTGCGGATTTCGGGTTTATGGCACCGTCATACGACGATCACGTGAGTAGCCTGAATGCTACCCAGGTTTGGGGCTGTGGCCTTGACAAGTATGGCAGTAAGAAGTGATATTCCGTTCACAAGTAAGTGGTGCAACACCCATCATCGGTGGTCAACGCATTCAGGAAGCTGACAGGATGTCATCTAGCTACATTGATGGAGCAACCTCCCCCGGTACGACTTTGCAAGGAACATTGATGAACCGCAGCCGCACCATTCGAGATGTAGATGAGCAGGTTGTGGAATACAAGCGAATCATGTACACAAAGAATGGCCATGCGCCTCTTTTTTTTGGGGGAAAAAACCTCGCTATACTTCCAGGGACGTGGACTATCCAACTCGTTTGGCGCAGCTCTATGGGCCGTGGAACTTAAATCTGTATTTTGCGTCTGCTGGATTCAAACGCGTGCATATGCACCAAGGCACAGACTATCGCGTGAGTACTTTTCCCTATTGTTCCTGATGACACAAAACTTGCTCTACGACGGAGTGCTAAATCATACTCGCCGTCAACAGGACCAGGCATTCCAGCCAACTGACACCAACAAGACATCAAAGGGCACCAAGGCACCTTATTACGGCAGCATCGGTGTGGCAGCCGCCCTTGGAGATCTCACAGCATTCTCTGTCAGCGTTTCCTCCATACCGATGTCATCTGACCAGGAAGCAGCGTATGCAATCTTCGAACGCGGAAACCTACAGCGCCTAACGGTCATCAACATGCACGAATACAACACGACGAAAGACGGGGCCGGCACGGAGCCATTGCCGAACCCTCCAAGGAGAATGAGCAGGGCCTTTTCGTTTGCGGTGCGAAACCTAACGCAGGACGTGTCGATTCGTGTACAGCGACATATGGCAAACGGCAGTGACGCTATTACTGGAGTGACATTTGATGGTGGAGTTACAACTGGGAGTTGGACAATGGGAAACCTGTTAGACTTCATAACGTTACGACCGGGGAAACAGTGAAATCCAAACAAGGAGTCGTTGCTGTCGTGGTCCCTGATTCGTCTGCGGCGTTGCTTCATGTACAGTAGGATGGTCATAGTGGTGGTTTGAAAAGAGTATGGATGGAGACGGAGCTTTGAAATCAAGATCGAGTCGAATAAACCTGGTACTTTTCTTTGGAAGTGAGAGGGTCATACTCCTTGTGTACTGTAAGACTAAGCAGAGTACATGTCCAAGTCAATTGCAGAAACAAGGTGGACACTACAACAAAGGCACGTCTAATACACATGTCCTCCGAGGTTCCGCATTGTAACGCGGCCGGCAACTCTCCCAGCAACATGGAAACTCAGGCAAACACAAAGGCGAAAAACGGGCAACAAGGACAATCATGATTGGAAGTAGTTGCCGCTGCAGGTCGTAGTGCCTCCTACCAGCGACATCGCAACACAGTCAGTCATCGCCAAGCAAGGCGTGAGACGTTGGTTGTCCCTAGTCACGATTGGTTGCCTCAACTGGTTAGCTTACCTGGGTAACCAACCAACTAACTAGTAGTTATGCCCCAGCAGTGACCCGGGTTTCTCCGCCGCCTCACCTTGCCCACGGTTGCATGCCAGTTGACAACAGAAACATGGGAATCTGGGGAACCAACGCCCTCCGGCCGACGTCCGGCCCGCCCCCATTGGAAAGCTCGGACGTTCACGGGCCATGCCGACTCTGTGCCGGTGTTGGATGGAATTTCTCCGCCTTTTGTGAGTTGTTTTTAAAATCCTGACGACTGCCATGTTCTACAGCAACTTGGAGAAGCGAACTGCAAATCACCGTAACAAAGAAACATTTGCGTCGCTTCTTCCTCCTCTGTATCATGGAGCACTCCCCGCCGGCGGCGTCGTCATTCGGGCGGCGCCTTGCACAACCGGAAATGACACAGATGACTTCTCAAACATGGTCGTCCAGAGGCACACGACAGCACCAGGAACAACCACAGCAATCACAGAAAGAGCACACCGAAGACGAGGTTGAAGATGAACCCTGCACCAATATCCAAGTCCGCCGGGCCATTCGCACCATGAACGCGGCCTTCGACTGGACCGGCCCGGATGACCCTGACAACCCACGCAACTTCCCATTGTCCATCCGCCTCTTCAGCACCGTCGCCGTCACGGGCCTCGCAACCGTTGCCACGGTCGCTGGATCCATGTATGCGCCGGCCCAAGACGACGTCGCATCTAAATTCAACTGTAGTCACGAATTGGCCGTTGTCCCGCTGTCCATGTACAACCTCGGCCTGGCATTTGGCCCGCTAGTCGGCGCTCCGTTGTCTGAGACGTACGGCCGGAAGGCGGTGTTTCTCGTGACCGGTCCCATCTTTGCTGCCTTCATGGTCGGATCAGGATTCAGCACGTCCTTGACCAGTCTCATCGCTTGCCGCTTCTTTGCAGGCATGTTCTCCTCGTCGCTCATTAACAATGCACCGGCCACTATTCTAGACTCCGCATCTGGAAAGCTACGAGGCGTAAGTCTGAGTGTATACTACACCATGCCGTCCTTTGGAGCTGCATTGGGTCCGTTTGTGGGCGGGTTTATCGTCCAGGATGGCGGGTGGCAATGGACGCAGTGGACAGCTGTGTTCATGGTTGTTGGCTTTTATATCCCCGTGTGTTTTACGCCAGAGACGTACAAGAGGGTGATTTTGAGAAGACGTGCGATCCGCCTTGGGCTGGATACCTCTTCGCAGAGGACGTCGCCTGGTCGAGCCTTCCGGTACTTTGCCACGGTGCTGATCCAGCGGCCGCTGCATATGCTGTTCACGGAACCCATTGTAACGCTGATTAGTCTGTACAACGGCTTCCTGTACGGATTGCTGTACACATTCGTTATTGCTGTGCCTTGGATCTTCCGAGAGTACTACGGGTTCGACAAAACGGGTGAATCACTGTCGTACTTGGGTTTGATGGTTGGCACGCTCGTTGCTTCGGCGCCCCTGGTTCTCATTGATCTGAAATACTACCAGAAGCGCTTGGCTCAATGGCGAGAGAGCCATCCTCCGGACGACGACGGCGTGGAGGAACCCTTGCCTTCGGAGCACCGGCTCACCGGCGCAATGATTGGCAGTCTCCTCTTACCGACCGGCTTGTTCATATCAGCGTGGACGGCTCAGTACAAGGTCCATTGGATAGTGCCCATCGTCTTCCAGAGCTGTGTGATGCTGAGCTCCCTGCTGATTTATGCCAGCGCCACCATGTTTATGCTCGATGCCTACGGCCCCATGTACGCGGCGTCGGCTTCCGGTGCCATGATGATGAGTCGATATCTTCTCAGTACTGCATTCCCATTGTTTGCTTTGCAAATGTACAAGGTCCTCGGCGTGGGGTGGGCAACAAGCTTGCTGGGGTTTGTCACGGTAGCTATGGCTCCAATTCCGTGGTGTTTCTGGGTGTTTGGTGAGCGAATTAGAAGACGCAGCAAATATGAGACGAGCATATAGAGAAGACGTTGCTGCCGATATTTAGAATTGTAGAAGGTCTTGTGTAGTTGTACGATACCCATGATGAATAGAGAATCTCCTGCTGATTGTTGCTTGTGGCGCATCGTGTTTGCGTGCGTCCGGTTGGTGTGAAGTCGAGTTGACATGCATGTGCAGTCAAGATGGAAGTCGGTGATCGGCTTCAATGTTGCTCGCTGGCCGGTCGTCGGCAAACTACGCCGCAGTGGGCACGCACCCACGCTGTACACGCCAAAGCTCCAGGCTGAAAATGGCCTAGATATCAGTTTGATGCCAGCTTGAGGCATGTGCACACCAGGACCAGACAGACCCAGTTGACGTCTCTGCCAATCTCTGTGACGCCACGCCGCGCGATGGGGCCATGAGAAAAGTCTGGTACCAAGGTACTTGACAGATCGCGACATGACAGTTGGAGCATCGACAATTCCGTACTCCGTACCCCGATTCCCATTCCCTTCGAATCGCTTCTTCCACTCCTCCCCTCCCCCCTTCCCTCCCGCCCTCGTGGTTATAATTGCGGTAGCGTGGCCTGCTCTCCGTTCTAATTTTGGCTGCTGCTACCTCGTGTTTCTTCTTCCTTTCTTCCTTTCGTAATTCGTCGCCCCCCGTCTTGGGTCTGATTGGGTCACGAAATCCTCTCCTTCACCCCTCCTCCCCGGTTCGTCCGAGCTTGCGGTGCATCGACGTCGTCGATATCTTCATCATGCCGCCGCTGATCGACAGCCCTCAGATCAAGCAGGCCGAGCTGCTGCGCCCGCTACCCTTTCACATCCACGCCTACGTCTGGCCCTTTGCCATCATCTGGCCCATCTTCCTGCGATACTACCTGACTCCTGATCTGTACGAGAAATACATTGGTGCGCCGGAATGGACTTTCGTTTGGTGTGGCACCATCATCACTCTACAGTCGCTTGTCTGGCTTAGCACACACTGGAGTGTTGCCTTGGAGGCTCGCTTCAAGGCTACCAGGGTCGACGCTGTTGAAGACGCCCAGCTAATCAAGGTTCTGCCCATTGCCAACGCAGGCTCTGGCGAGATTTGCAAACTTGTTCGCGACAAGGCATGTCAATTTTTCTCGTTGCCTACTCCTTCTCAAGCTTAAGCACATCAATCTCCTCTTGGCAACTATCTAACGTCTATCGTGATAGGTTGGTGGCAAGCTCATCACCTCGTTCCTGTTTCAGAAGCGCCGTTTCCTCTACAACCCCGAAACAAAGTCCTTCTCTACGCTCCAATATGACATCGACTCCGAGCCCAAGCCAACCATCGGTCACTTCCAGTCCTTCAGGGGTCTTGAGAAGCAGTCTGAACTCACCCGGGTCGAACAGCACTACGGTACCAACACTTTCGACATTCCCGTTCCCACCTTTACCGAGCTCTTCAAGGAGCACGCCGTTGCTCCATTCTTCGTTTTCCAGATCTTCTGCGTCGGTCTTTGGTTGCTCGATGAATATTGGTACTATTCACTCTTCACGCTGTTCATGCTTGTGGCTTTCGAAAGCACCGTCGTTTGGCAGCGTCAGCGCACTCTCAACGAGTTCCGTGGTATGAGCATTAAACCCTATGACATCTGGGTGTTCCGTCTTGGGAAATGGACCGAGATTCAGACAGACGCTCTTTTGCCCGGCGACCTCGTCTCAGTCGACCGAACCAAAGAAGACAGTGGTGTGGCTTGTGACATGCTGTTGGTTGAGGGAACAGCCATCGTCAACGAGGCTATGCTTTCTGGAGAAAGCACGCCTCTCCTCAAGGACTCTATCCAGCTGCGTCCGTCTGACGCTGTGCTGGACCCTGAAGGACTAGACAAGAACGCCTTCCTTTGGGGTGGCACCAAGGTCCTTCAAGTTACACACGGCAACCCTGAGCAAGAGAAGCCAAAACTATCGTCTCACGTTCCAACACCTCCTAACAACGGCGCCATGGCTATTGTTACCAAGACTGGATTCGAGACCTCTCAGGGCAGTCTTGTTCGCACCATGATTTACTCCACCGAACGCGTTTCAGCCAATAACTTTGAGGCCCTTCTATTCATCTTGTTCCTCCTAATCTTCGCAATCGCCGCCTCTTGGTATGTTTGGGATGAGGGTGTCCGCAAAGACCGCAAACGATCCAAACTTCTGCTCGACTGCATTTTGATTGTCACCAGTGTCGTTCCCCCGGAATTGCCCATGGAGCTCAGTCTTGCCGTCAATACTAGTCTGGCCGCACTTTCCAAGTTGGCTATTTTCTGTACCGAGCCCTTCCGAATTCCTTATGGTGGCCGTATTGACGTTGCTTGCTTCGACAAGACTGGTACCCTCACCGGCGAAGATCTGGTTGTCGAAGGTATTGCTGGACTTGGCCTGGCCGACTCAAATATTGTTGATACAAAGGAAGCCGATGGAGCTCACTCCACCATGGTGCGTGTGACCGAGGCCAGTATTGAGACTCAACTCGTCCTCGCCACTGCCCATGCTCTTGTTAAGCTTGATGAGGGTGATGTTGTTGGTGATCCCATGGAGAAAGCTACCCTGACGTCTCTTGGCTGGGGTCTTGGTCGTAACGACATCTTGGCTAGCAAGAACAAGAATAGTGGTGCCCAGGGAACCGTACAGATCAAGCGCCGCTTCCAGTTCTCCTCCGCTCTAAAACGTCAGAGCTCGGTCGCCATGGTAAATGGGGTCTCCAAGACTGGCAAGAAGGTGAAGGGCACTTTTGTTGGTGTCAAGGGTGCTCCCGAGACTATCATGAAAATGCTGGTGAATGTGCCCACCGACTACGAGGAGACCTATAAGTACTTCACCCGCAAAGGATCTCGCGTTCTGGCTTTGGCATATAAACAGCTCACTGTCGATTCTGAGCTCGGTTCCGGCAAGATCAACGACTTAAAGCGTGAAAAAGTAGAGGCTGATCTCACTTTTGCCGGCTTTTTAGTATTACACTGCCCATTGAAGGAGGACGCCAAGGGGGCCGTCCAGATGCTTAATGAGAGTAGCCACCGCGTCGTCATGATTACGGGAGATAACCCCTTGACTGCCGTCCATGTTGCTCGCGAGGTCGAAATCGTTGATCGAGACGTCTTGATTCTGGATGCACCTGAGGACAATGTTGACGGAAAGAAGTTGGTCTGGAAGAGCGTTGATGACAAAATTAGCATTCCTGTGGATGCAACTAAGCCCATTGACGCTGAAATTCTCAAGACAAAGGATCTTTGCGTTACTGGATATGCCTTGGCTCAGTTCAAGGACGAAGCCGGCTGGAACTCGTTGCTCCGCCATACTTGGGTTTATGCCCGAGTCTCCCCTAAGCAGAAGGAAGACATTCTCCTTGGGCTCAAGGACATGGGCTACTACACTCTCATGGCTGGTGATGGCACCAACGATGTCGGTGCTCTCAAACAGGCACACATTGGCGTTGCCCTCCTCAACGGTACCAAGGAGGACTTGACTCGCATTGCTGAACACTCGAGAAACACCAAAATGAAGGAAGTCTACCAGAAGCAGTGTGATTTAATGAAGCGATTCAACCAGCCCGCACCCCCTGTTCCTCTCATGATTGCCCACCTATATCCTCCTGGCCCCAGCAACCCCAACTACATGAAGGCGGCTGAGCGTGAGGCTAAGAATAAGAATATGACAATCGAAGACTACATCAAGGTACAGGGTCATCCTACCGAGACTATTGTCTCGCCTGGGGCACAAAGCTTGGCAAATGCCCAAGGTGCTCGACAGGCCGAAGTTCAGAAGAAGGCCGCTGGATTCGCCGACAAGCTTGCATCTGGCATGCTTGAAGCAGAGATGGGTGATGACGAACCACCCACACTTAAGCTTGGTGATGCATCTGTCGCTGCTCCTTTCACTTCTAAGCTCAGAGACGTCATTGCCATTCCCAACATCATCCGCCAAGGCCGGTGCACTCTCGTTGCCACCATTCAGATGTACAAGATTCTCGCCCTCAACTGCCTGATTAGCGCCTACTCCCTCTCCGTCCTGTACCTGGAGGGGATCAAATTTGGTGATACTCAGTACACAATCAGTGGCATGCTCATGTCTGTCTGCTTCCTCAGCATTTCCCGCGCCAAGGTTGTCGAGGGTCTAAGCAAGGAAAGACCTCAGCCCAACATCTTCAACATTTACATCATTGGTTCCATCCTCGGACAATTCGCCATCCACATCGTAACTCTCATCTACGTTGCCCGACTATGCGAGAAGATTGAGCCGTAAGTTTTCTCACTCCCCCCACTTTACATAATAACTGTTCAACAAAATTGACAAACGTACAGACGCTCCGGCGTTGTCGATCTCGAGGCAGAATTTGAGCCATCCCTGCTCAACTCCGCCATCTACCTCCTCCAGCTTATCCAGCAAGTGTCCACTTTTGCAATCAATTACCAGGGCCGCCCCTTCCGAGAATCCCTCTCCGAGAACAAAGCCATGTTCTACGGCATCCTCGGCGTATCCGGTCTCGCCTTCGTCTGCGCCCTGGAAGTGATGCCCGAAATTAATGAGCAAATGAGACTCGTCAAGTTTACTGAAGAATTCAAGATCAAAATGGCCGTCGTCATGGCGCTCGATTACGTCCTTTGCTTCATCATTGAGAAGGGCCTCAAGGCCGGGTTCAGCGACTACCACGCTCGTGATATCGCTGAGCGTCGGCCCGAGCAGCTCGAGCGCGAGAATGCCCGTAAGAAGATTGAGGCGGAGAAGAAGGCGGCTGACGAGGAGGCCAAGAGGATGGAGAAGGTGGCTGAGTTCGAGAGACAAGTTGCGGAGAGGAGGAGGAAGTTGGAGGAGTGGCGAGCGGGGCGTCGTGCTCAGTAGCATTGACAAAAGTGTTGTTGAATTTAGTGTGTACACTTTGTATTACTGTCACTGGGAATTCTAGAAGGAATTTATACAAGAGAGGCGTATGAATAGATCCGGGGGGGGGTTGGGCTGGACTAGGTGTGCTATCATGATGTGGAGTAGGGAAATCATGTAACATATTCAACGACACTATAGACTTTGGTAGATGACGATTGAAAATTTCGTCAAACCACCCACCTCTGCTCTTTTACGTCCGATTAACATGTCATCTGAACTTCACAACGAGCTTTTGACAGGTATTTTACTATGGTACAAGGACTCAATTAAATATTCTATAGCAGTCGCAAAACATGCAAAAATATTGTCCCATTTTTTGCCAATCCTCGCATCAGACAGACATTAATAGCAAGTCACGCTCTCATGATACCCCCTTTTCATCACTTTTGTACATTGTCACACTTCCCAATCCAGCCCACTCGTCCGTTTTGGCATACAATGGGAAATTGGCGACTTTCCCGTTACATGCCATCAAGACCCGGCAGAGGTGGAAGGGCAGACATGTAGCTCATGGGCTGCATTTAATTTCCAGGGTTCTGAGCGACGAAAGCGACACCCTTCTCAATGTTCTTCTTGAGGTCGCGCAGGCAAGCCTCGAGAAGCTTCTCCTCAGCGGCGTCGATCTTGCCAACGGGCAAGATCTGCTTGACACCGTCGGGGCCCAGCTCGACCTTGCTGGAGAAGAAGTCAATGCCCTGGTCCTTGTAGAGGGGTGAGTCGACGAAAGTGGGCTCAATGACACCCTTCTCGCCAGCAGCAGCACGGAGAAGAGAGTCGGCCATGCGAGCACCAGCCATGGCCATGGAGAGGGTGGCAGACCCAGCGCCATCCTTGGCCTTGACGACCTCGTCACCACCGAATTGGACACGCTTAACGAGCTCAGCGTTGGAGCTCAGCTCGGGGTGGTTGCTCTGGCTGAAGAGAGGGACGATGGTGACACCGGAGTGGCCGCCAACGACGGTGATGTTCTCGTCCTTGGGGTCAGTTCCCTTGATCTCAGAGACGAAGCGGCTGGCACGGACAACATCCAGAGTGGTGACACCGAAAAGGGTCTTGGGGTTGTAGACACCACGGGCCTTGAAGACCTCGGCGCAGATAGGAACGGTCGAGTTGACGGGGTTCGCAATGACGAGGAGCTTGGCATTGGGAGCAGACTCAGCAACGGCCTTGGCGAGGTCGCGGACAATGGAGGCGTTGGTGTTGAAGAGATCGTCACGGGTCATGCCGGGCTTACGGGGGACACCAGCGGGGATGAGGACGATGTCGGAGCCCTTGACGCACTCAGCGAGGCCAGCAGCAGTGGGCTCATAACCCTTGACGGTAGACTTGGTGTTGATATGGGAAAGGTCAGCAGCGACACCTGTCAAGCAGTCACGTTAGCTAGACCAGTCATCTTCCCACAACTGCCGGAAAGACCGGAGATGGGTCGCAATTGGAAATTGACGCATGGAGCTCGCAATTTGCTTGCGAGCTGCCTCATCCAGGACAAAGGTTCAACACATACCGGGTCCGCCGCGGATATCGTACAGGGCAAGCTCAGTGACCTTGGAGTTCTTCTTGAGGAGAAGAGAAAGAGGCTGGCCAATGCCACCAGCAGCACCAAGGACGGCAACCTTGGAGAGCTATTGCCGAAATGCATGTTAGCCGACGACGAAGGTTGTCATCGCGGCAAGGGCCGGTCAATTGGGGGCGAAGACTCACGTTGCGGGCAGAGGCAGAGAAAGCCCTGCGCTGGATTCTGGAAGCCAACATAGTGAATTGAATTAGCTATCAATGGGAGGTTGTGTAGATGCAAAAGAGAGGCAATGGGGATGGAAGTGGTCAAGGTGGTTTTCGTTGTGAGGGCGACGGGGGGGGAAAAATAGGTCGGGAGGTGAGGAAAAGTGGCCATCGGAGCCATGGGGACAGGAACAAGGGTGCGCCTGGTCCCAATCGGGTATAGCTCGGGGCTTTCCGGGTGAAAAGCGATCATGTGTCAAGTGGAAAGCTTGTGCGAGGATGATCAAGTGCAATTGGAGCGCTGGATCCGGAGTTGTATGCGGCAAATTAGTTAATTCTCAGAGGTTTTAGATGAGGCGATAGGTGACTTGCTGAGAGAATGGATTGTGGTTGAGCGAGGAAAAGGGGCGTGCGTGGATGTACACGTAGAAGCAACGTTCCGTGGGTGTGACATCACACTGATCTTGATTTTGTGAGCCCGCATATAGAATCCGACTAAGTAGCCGGAGCTCATTGGTATACATTAAGAACACAACTTGGAGATGCATGGAGCCTACTGGTGCATTTTAGTCGTACGTATCAACACTCCAGGCACCAGACAGTTCTAGCAGTCGCTCATCAAAAGCCCATTCCACTTCCATGCAAACTCTACTTTCGGTACTAGAAACTACGGGTTGGATAATTAAGATTGCAAATGAGAAACGCTCACATGTGTTCTGAAAAGAATAATAATGAAATAACATCGAGAATGGTGCTGCCATCTCACAGTGGGCAATAGTAAAGCATTTCAAGAGCCAAATCAAGTCGGTCTGACTCACAGCCCTAGGGTAGGCAACTCATCAGACATCCACAACTCCAAGCTGCCCCTCGATTGAGCTAGCTCACAAACAAATGTCCAAAGTTCTGGAATTGAACTCGACACTCACCAAAACGCAGCGACTATCCAACGCCATTGCTGCAATGTCTCTCTCGCAGCTCTCGCAGCTGCTTCCTCTTCCCGAGGAAGAACTTCAACAGGTTTTGCAATATGCCTCGACGCTTTCCAAGGCAGAGGCCGCCACGCACTTCAACAACTTGCTAGGAGACTCACCCCTCGCAGTGGATTTTATTGCATCATTCAACTCACATAGAAAAGACCCCTCTGGAGTGCGGGCGCCATCATTAGCAACAGAAAATTCAGCTTTCAACTCAGAGTTACCTGATGCCGTGCCCAAAGCAAAGCGTTTCCAAAAGAAGAAGCCTGCGATACACGTACCAGAAGCCAGAAGGGTTGACGAGTATGCCGGACCAGCAAGCAAGGCGTACAAGAAGGACCTAGGCTCTGAATACATACCGCAACCTGCCAGTGCACCGAGCAGCCATCACGCATCTAGATCAGCTACACCACCCGCCCAAGCTCAACCCAAACAACATGCCTCTTCAGCAGGGTATCTGATATCAGATGGGCCCCCAAGGGCCAAGGCCAAGTCAAACCCGGGATCCAGGGCGTCGACACCGAAGCCAACATCAGGAAACACGACCAAGGTATCAATAGCAGGTGGGACACCAATGGCAGGACAATCTACTGCCCTTGCGGATCTAGATGCGGCCATTCGAGCTCTGGAAATCACGACAAATCCTACTCTTGAGAATGGGAAACGAAAGGCTTGCAACTGTGTGGCGACTCGACACCCCCTTCAGGGCGCAGCACCAAATTGCTTGTCTTGCGGCAAGGTGATCTGTATGAAGGAAGGACTAGGACCATGCACATTCTGTGGTTCACCGTTGCTGAGCCTAGACGAGGTTCAGGCGATGGTGAGAGAACTCAAGGATGAACGCGGAAGGGAAAAAATGGCAGTCAATGCATCAGCTCATAGACGAGCCGAGGTATCGAAAAAACCGGCGCCATTCACGCAGGCGCGTGACGACTCGGCTTCCGGCACTGATAGTTCACTATCCGAAGCAGCCGCCAAGGCTCGACAACACCGCGACAAGCTACTCAATTTCCAAGCGCAAAATGCCCAGCGAACAACAGTTCGGGATGAAGCTGCGGATTTCGACGTCACGGGAGCAATGAATGGCACTGGTAGCATGTGGTCTAGCCCGGAAGAGCGAGCCAAGGAGTTGAAACGCCAACAAAAGCTATTGAGAGAAATGGAATGGAACGCCCAACCAGATTATAACAAACGTCGGCAAGTCATCAGCATTGACCTTGTCGGAGGAAGAGTAGTACGGAAGATGGCTGCGGTTGAGAGACCAGTAATCCCGGATGAAGAGGTTGATAGCGAGCGTGATGAAGGGGTATTGGGAGAGACATCTGGGAATACTGGGGGGCCACATCGTACAAATGGAGGAGCCTTTAGCGGAAACCCGTTGTTGGGCTCACTTATGAGACCTGTTTTTGAGGCGAAGGGCAAGGACAAGGACTTCGGGGCAGCCAGGAGCCGAGAAGAGCGTAAGAAGAGATGGCGAAGGGTACAAGACGATCTTGATGACAACGAAGACGTTATTCTAGATGGTGGCGCATATGGTTACAAGGACGGAGGGGACGAGCCAGCTTGTGGTTAGCGGTCCAATGGATAGATGGAGCCACGTTTTACATACATATATGGTAAATACGAAGGATGCCAATTTGTCAAGTTGGTGGGCTGGCAAGTGGAACTACAGCCACCGAAGACGAGCTCAAGTGCGTCTTGATGTTGTTGATGATTTCGGACCTCGGTGAGAAACTAAGTGTTGTGCACCGTCTTCCTAGCCAGAGCCACCCATGCTCTCCCCGCGTAGGCTGCGTGACCTCGAGACACGTGATCACGCGTTTCTTGATGAATTTGAGCTGGTCTGAGCGCCCAGCCGACCGCCTGTCCTGAAGGATGTATATTAGCTAGGTACCTAGCAGCCAAAGGATCATACGGTCATCTTTCCGTGCGTGGCCACAGTATTTGTGCAATGCCATCAATTGGATTTTCATGTTCCCCTAAAGGTCGGTGCAGAGTGGAAGCCTGTGGACATGGGAATTGGCCTGCATGGCTAATGGGTTGCAAGGACTCCGTAAAGTCCATTACCGTCCTGGTACAGAATCACGCAGATGCGGCGGGAAATACAACAAGGGTTGCAGTGCAAAATCTTCTGCAGCACACACCCATGTTTAATTGTCCCGATGGATCAATTCATATTATCTGGCCCGTGGATGTCACGTCTAAAGGACTCGGAAGAACGCACCAAACATAAACTTTCAAGGTTCGCCAATTACTCGCGTGGAGGCGTGCCTGTGGATTTTTTTATTTGGGGCAACTAACCTTTCCCAGCCATCTGGCTTTTTATAATTTTTCTTGTCGCTGTTCCAATGTGTGCTTCCCTAACACGCCATCCGCGAATGGCTACGGAGTACCAGACACTATATGTAGGTATCTCAAATGCACGCAAAAGCCGAGTTTTCACGCTCAAAAGCCGTCTGGTCCCTGTAACTTGGTGCCATCTGATCAATGCTTGGATTGATGGTACAAGCCGTCTTCAGTGGGTCTGGTGGCGGCGCACAGAAGACTGGGAGCTCTGGGTACTAAGTACTTAAGTACCTAGGTACCTAAGCCCTGCGTGCTAGGCGGGCTTGTACAGGTGCCTGGGCACTATATTGCGCGTGTCGACTGGTCTGGTACTGTCTGGTGCTTCTAATCTATCTGGTGTCTCCTCCAGACGCTCGTGTCCTGTTCGGGCGCTGCGCCCACATACACGGGACTGCATGGACCTCCAACGCGGCGCCACAGCGAATCGTCGTCCTCCCGCATCCGTCGCGACCGGACCGCGTAACCACATGTGCACATTGAAGAGTCAGCAGGCCTCAGTGCTCAACCGAAGGCGTACGGCGGCCAGGCTTTGTCGCAGGCTCCCACTTTCCACTCCCAAGACCGCAATCACCTTCGCCTTCGCGAGAGCCAGCAACGCCGCGATTTGATCCGTCTATCGCCCTCGACACTCATTTGATCGCTACTCGCCCGTTCTTCGCCGGACCTGTCGCGTGGCTGCGAATCAGAGCTCTTGTCGCGCTTCCGACAGGGAAACAAGAGACCGACACCCATTGTTTCGCGACTCGACCTGCACGCCGTCGTGTCGTCATCTGCAGCACGCGCAGTAACGTCCTTGATAGAGCTGGAAGAATTGTATTGCATTGTCCACGGCAATACAACGCCTGGGATTACTCTGAACACGAACAGTCGCCTCCTCGAGACATCGAAAACCTTGTTGAAACACAAGACATAGGCACGCGAGCCCTTCGATAGCTTTGCTTGGATTTCACCTCCCGTCCTCACGAACCGTCAAACCGCCCAGAAGAATATTCTGGCGGTGGTTAGCGCTATGGATAGTGATCCTTATCCGGCTTCCCAGCCTGTCCAAGGGCAAGATCAGTTGGCACCCTCAGGGCACGACAGTGGCACCAATTCGTCTCAGAGCCAAACCCGGTCGGTTGCCGATTCGCAGACTTCCAACGCGTCCCCTGCAACAGACCAGGTTGCCACACCTCCTGGAAGCGATTCGGGCAGTGGCGTGGAACCTCCTCCGGCTGCAGTGGTAACCGCCATGTTGAAAAACAGATATGCCAATGTTGGCCCGGGATTGACGACGGGTGTATCTAGTCAAAATAGCCAGCTGCACCAACTATCTGCTATTGCCGCTGTACAAGATAGGCTGGGGCTAGATGCCGCCGGACTTCCGAGAAAAAGGATGGCTGACGGCGAGGTCAAAGATGGTAGAGGAAGCCTGAGTCCGGTAAAAGGACATTCCCGGACTACCAGTACTGTCAGCGTTGCCTCGACAGCCGGAAGTACGATAGGTGAGGTATGTATGAGTCCGAAGGGAAAGCTGTCTTGCTGCTTGAGCGCCGATGCTGATTTGGTACAGCTCTCTGCAGAGTTGCGGACAAGACTGTCCTACGCCATGGTCAAGGTGAACAATGGATGGCAGGCTAGAAATCTGGACGAGGTTGAAAGTCTGGCCTCCCAGGCCACATCTCCAGCCTCGAGCACATCTACCGTACATCGAAGGAAGGGATCGTCTGCTAGCCCGCGCTTGCCTGCAACAGCAATGTCTTCTCGGGCGCAGTTCACGCACGAATCGATGAATTTTAAGGGCAAATCGGCCTCTCCGCCGTCTGCGAACTCTGATAAGCCAACCTTGGCTCCGCCAGCATCTATTCAGCCATGCTCCCCCATGCCCGCCCCGAGGTCGAACCCGCGACGGAATTCTAACCCTCGATATACACCCACTATGCTGTCTCACTCGCATTCAGCATCCGCCCATGCATCTGCGCAGACCACGCCCATTAGCAACGGAATCGGAAGGTCGCAAAGTCATTTGGATGCTAACATGTACTCACCACACCATAAGAACGTCAGGGAGCAAGATGCCATTGAGACGCTTTTGTTTATGAGCAGTCCTGGAAACTCGGCCAGCTTAAAACACACCTTTTCGCCATCGGGCTCGCCTGGTCCGCAGTCAAGCGCCCCTCCGAGGAGCGTTAGTGAACGGCATGCTCTTCCGTCCGGACCTCGACGTGGTTTGCCGGCAAGCCGGCCTCCCTCTTCAGCCAAGAAGGTTGGATTTGACAAGTCACCCGGCGTGCCTCCGCCACACTCACCTATGGACCTCGACTCGCCACAGCAACAGCAATATACCGCCCGCAACATATCCACGCCAAAACGGCAAGCTACGGGTCTAACGAGCCGACACAGAACCACACTGTCATTGCCCAGCGGTCTTGGTCTCGGTAACGGCACCGCCCGAAAGGTGCTGCGGGACGAAGACATTGAGCGGATGCTGGATCATGCCGGAGCAGAGCTAGCAGACAGTTCTGACGACGAAGAGATCCAGTTGCCGCCAGGCCGTAATCGACTAGCCGGCGCTATGGGAATATAACCCTCAATCTCGCGAATGGGTTTCTTTTTCCCGGATGGACTCCACAGACTGGCGTTGCCCATGAGCAACAATGCATCTGAGGGAAGTGGGCATACGGTACGATATTCAGCATACATCACATTTAACGAAGTTTTATGACAAAATCCAGCATATGGAAGTGGGGTTTGCATTCATTTATCCTGGGGTACCTCTTAATCATGTTGTTCCTTATGTTTGACGCCATATTTATTCCATGTCATGTATATCTTGCATTTCGGGTTTGTTTTATTTCATCCCTGTACATTGTGGAGTTGATGAGGGTCTGGTGTGACGACGCAGCACCCCTTTGGGGTTCTTTTGGTAGTGCAACATTGTTGAAGGTGGGGATGGAAGCAAACCATTTAAAACTTTGATTCCCTGTTCATCGACGGTTGGCCTTGATTAGATTTGGCCAGGATATGATTAGTTGAATGCAAGGACCAGACACGGGGCATATCGGACTTGAAAAAAAAAACGGGAGGGATCACCGCAGGGAGGTCTTTTTTTTTTTCTTTCTGAGGATTCTTGTTGAACAAAACTGGTTTCACGGGACACCCGATTTGTGTGGCCGTATTCTGGTGTAAAGGGGAATGTTGGCTCTTCCCCATTGGAATATATTACTCCGACAACATGCGTGTATTCCGGTATCCTTTGTAACCGCCCCGCGCTTTGTAATATCGTCCCTCGTTATGATTTATTATATATCCCAGCCCGTTATGCTCCGTGACATGATCTTCCAATGACGACGCTGAAGGACGCCTCGGCGCCACATGACAAAATATTGGGAAGAAAAAACATTACAAAAAAAAATTATCATTCACTCATGCAATTGTAGGCACGCCCGTCTCGGAAGAAGGCTTGAAGTATTCAGAAATACGCCTCCCCAGCGTCTTGCTCGGCTTGTGATGCAGAGCTCGCGGCGACGTGGATGCGGGCAAAGGCGCAGACCACCGTCCGTGAAGCGCTTGCTTCTGCGGCCCGCTCCCATGTCCGCTCGTGCTGCTCGGCGACACAGACGCGACCGAGTAATAGGCGCTGTCCCGCTGCGTCGTGCCCTTGAAGCCCTGCGGCGGGCCGGCGTGATTGCCCAGCGCCCACTGCTGCTCGCGACGCTCCTTTTCCCTCTGGGCCCATCGCGAGCGAAAGGCACGGTCATTCGCCTCGGCCTCGGCCAAAAAGGCGGCGTAGTCGTCGTCGTCGGCGTCGTCGTTGTTGAGCGGCGGCTCGCCGACGTCGGGCTGTGCGCGGTGCGAGGCAGCAGAGGGACTGATGCTCGCGGGTGGTGTGGTTGTGGTGGTTGACGGAACGTGGCGCCCCCTTGCAGCGGGTGTGGAGTGCATTCTTGGCGACCTCGGCGTCTCGTCGCATGCAAGCTCATCCCGCTCGTCGATACGAGGCGTCGACAGCGGTGACACGGTTCTCGCGAAGCTGGCGGCTGCGTGGGTGGGGACGTACGCAGGCCGCTGGCGAAGCTGTCCCGAAGCTGGTGCTGCGTCGTGAGCCTCTGGTTGTGGTGTGGCGGTGGTTGCGGCGGTGGGAGACTTGACTGGCTTGCGGCCTCGAAAGCGCTGTGTCAATGATGTCATGCGGCGAAGCGGCTGCCCTGGCTGTTGCGGCTGATGGTGATGCTTCTGGTGCGGTTGTGGTTGCGGTTGCGGTTGCGGTGTAGCTGGAGGAGGCATTGCCGTTGGGCCTGCAGGTGCATGCCATCTGCTCCACGACCTGGACATGACGAGAAGTGCCGGGTCTAGAACGACGTCTTTTTTCTTTTTTCTTCTCTTCTTTTCTCAACAAGCGATGGAGGGGGGTTATATTCTTGAGGAGGCAGCACAACCCAGGAAGAACGAGATGAGGAGAGGAAACAAATAAAACGGCACAATGAAAAAAAGGTAGGAAGAGTCCGATGGCAAAATATATGCGTCGGGCTGCGATATCAGGGCAGAAACGGCGATGCAGAGACCAAGGTGAGAGAGTATTCTCCGAACGAGACCCTGTCTGTTGCTTCAATCTTGGTTCGGATCGCCGGCTCACTGCATGGCAGGCAAATGAGAGCAAAACCGGTTTCAAGAGCCGACGCGCAGGGCAGAGAGATGCGGCGTTCCTTGTTATTTCCTCCTTTCTGCAGCTTGTCTCACCAGACGGGCGAACAAGAAGGCGGGAGACACAACATGAACAGAGGGTGGGAGAGAAACAAAACCATGGAAACATGAAACAAGAAGAAGAAAAAACAAGATTCTCGTCAAGGACAAGAAACAGGCTGCCGACACACACAAAAAAGAAAAGGTGCACTACTGGTACTTTAATTGCTGAGTGTATCAAAAAAGGCAAACATCAACGAAGCCTACTTTTGTTCCGGCGGAATTCGTCTGGTAGTTAAATAAATATCATTGATATCAGATGATGCCGACTTACCGCATGCTCAACTCCACGGTGGAGGCGCTCCGCAAAACCCAGCTACGATCCCCACATGCAGCGCACCGAAGGACGCAGAGCCCTGCACGCGGGTTGCAAAAAAGGCCGCACACCCCGCACCCACAACCACACACAACAGGTGTGCGGCCTTTTTTGCAACCCGCGTGCCCTGTTCCCTGTCTCTTAGAATCTTTCGTGCTTGTGTAACTATCACACGATGCACACGATGCGCCTTGCACCCCCCAGTTTGAGTGTGTTGAATCGGACCAGGGTTGGGATAACAGACAAGGTTCAAAAAGAGAGCACTTGAGGGCCCAGCTACGATCCCCACATGCAGCGCCCCGAAGGACGCAGAGCCCTGCACGCGGGTTGCAAAAAAGGCCGCACACCCCGCACCCACAACCACACACAACAGGTGTGCGGCCTTTTTTGCAACCCGCGTGCCCTGTTCCCTGTCTCTTGTTCTCTTTCGTGCTTGTGTAACTATCACACGATGCACACGATGCGCCTTGCACCCCCCAGTTTGAGTGTGTTGAATCGGACCAGGGTTGGGATAACAGACAAGGTTCAAAAAGAGAGCACTTGAGGGCTTGTGTGCCAACTCAACCCTGCTAGACCTGCAGCTATGTGCCTACCTACTTAGGTACAGGTAGGCACATGTGCAGCCCTCGCTCTGATCAATGGAGTCTGGTGCAAATCACGGTGATAAGCATGGACAGCCGGTCGTCACGTCGAGTCAAGTGAGCGAGTGCGTCGACGCTGTCTTGCAAGATGCCAAGCCACGGCTGGGCTTTGGCAACGACAGGCACGGTATTACAGTAATACAACAGTGGCTTTTCTTCAGATCCTCCCTTTTCCGCGGTGTCATCCATCCTCGGTAGTGGCGACCACAGCTGCTCATCCATGTGGCAGTTGGGCCGTACGCGGAACAAAGACAAAAAGAAAACGACGAGATGAAAGGGCCTTTGCGTTCCAATCTTCCGTCGCTAGTTCTTGCATCTGGGCTCACCAAGACAGATGGTGGGCAAGCGCCACTCGATGCCGCCGGCTATCGGGTCTCGAACTGATCTACGGCATTGGGGTTTTGGTGTTTCACTACAGAGCGAAGGTGGATTGGAACCACGTTGTCGGTTAAAAAGGGGTCATTGTGATGGCAAAGGAAGCGGACGAAGCCTTGTTGCGGAGAGTCGGTCGACACGCTGACGCCTGAAGGCACGATAGTCTGCAGAGTACGGAAGTGCTCGCGATTACAAGGCTCGTCGGGGCTATGTGAATGGGCATGGCCTCCTCGTCGTCAGCATCGTGATGGGGTCACGGTGGAGAAGACTTACTTCTCACCACCCTCATGAACAAAAATATCCGCCCGGAGCATTCTCAGCGAAACCGCCTCTTGGCACCGTGTATCGGGGAGAGTTTCTGCTTAGGGTGTTTTGAGTTTCAAGCCATGTCTCTCACCCACACTGACCAGGCCAATGACGAGGTGAGCATCAACAACAAACAGGCAGGGATAAACTGCCAGGCTGACATTGCCTAGACAAGACCACCACGACCGCCACGAGGCCTTCAGTGAGCACCAGAGCGCCAAATCTGGCCAGTGGCTGCCACACGGGCTGTGGCTTTCCTGTAGTCTGCGGACATGGCGGCAAGCCACCACACCAGTCACAGGGGCAATGATGAGTGAAGATGGCACCGAAGGGGTATGGTGGCTCTTGGCTTCCCGTGAGGCTTGGGGATTGGATGGAAGACACAGATTGCGTCTCAATGGTTTGGCTAGCGTACTGCTTAGTCGGGCCCTGGATTAAGCTGAAATCCCCTCTAGGGCCTATGAGATGGCCTCGTGTGCGGGCAAAGGAGGCCAGGAAGTTACGTGGTTCGGACGACAAATACAATATTGGATCAGCTGCGGATGTTCTGGTTGGGAGGGCTGGCACCGCCCGTGATCGACTACTTCAAGAGGAAAGAGGAGATTGTTCCAAAGTGCCCGTCGCAAGCCACAGGACGACCATGTCGACGTATTGCCAAGGCATGAGCAAGAGTATTCACGAAACAGGCCAACACGGATGTCCAAATCGGGATGTCAACACATGAGAGAGACGCAAGCCAGGGCCGTCTCAAAACGGAAATCATGCGCACGCCTAAATATCAGGGGCGGTGACAAGAGTATTGCTCCTTGGGGCGGAAAAGGCTCAAAAGAGACAGTTTATCTCGAAATGCCAAGCTTGTTGAATCAAGGCTCAACCCGGCAACGGGTCGCCAAATGCTAACGCGCTTCTTACGAGCTGAGGAAAAGGCGCTGTTATTCATAATCTAATCCACGTCCCGTTAGTATACGGACGATGGATTCAGAGAGAACGACGAGAAGGAAACGTTTGTTTGGTTTCGCCCGGCCAACGTCCTGCTTCAGACGATGCCCGGCCAATAACTCTGCAAGACGCCCACTGCTCGTCCCAGAGCTTCGGAAACACCCCTCGACCGCTCGTCTGCCCGTGTCATGTTGGATTCGTAACCGGCCACGAACGCTGAGTTGTGTCGTCTGCCACTTCAAAAATGTTTGATACGTCTGTATCATTCTCCCGCTTTTCATGTGCCTATTGTTGAAAAAGGAGGCACACTTCCCGATCCCGTCTTCTCGTCTCCAGAGCTTTGTCAAGTTCTCCATGTAGTAAACAAAAAATAAACTCCATGTACGTATTTGTCGTAATATTGTCACCTTGGCATTTCGTGCACTGGATGGCCGTGGTAAAATCCCCTAGAATCGCAGACGCCCACTGCCCGTCTCGATCTAGTTTGCCCCTGTGAATGAATTTCGCGATGAATAGCTGTAAAAGGAAAAAAGAAAGAAAAAAAAAGAAAACTTTCAACAATGTCCCAGAAACCTACTGCTCTTCTGGACAAACCCCCATCGACCGAGGTCGACTAAGTTATAAGAATAAGAATAAATGTCCAAATAAACCTTGGGATACGGCCATTGGTATCCCATTTCTGGGGTCCATGAAGCATAGACTCGTTGATCCGCATTGTCATGATTGAAATCCATTCCCACATTTAGGCTTCAACGGAAACAACATGGCTTGCTTGCTGGGCGGCACCGGTATTGGGAAGTTGGACCTTTGACAGAGCCGCAATCCCCCCCGAAATGCTGTCCGCTTGTATGCCCCTGTGACGAAGTACGCTGTTTGCAACCCTAGCACTATCACCATCGTAGCAGATAGTCAGGACCCTCTTGTTCCTCAAGATGGTTATCAGGGTCTCGGCGCTCGGGTCCCTCTTCCCGTTCTTGTCCTGCGCAGTGAATAGACCCTCGAGCTCGAGCCACAGCTCTTCAAGCATTGTGCAATCATCCACTGGATTGGCAAAGGGACTGCCGCGAGCCGCCCCGTCCCTCAGGGTCTCAAGAGGAACGTTGACCGAGCCGGGCAAGTGGAAAGCATCGAAGTCTGCGGCGCGGCGAAAGTCGAGAACCTGGGTATTCGGCCTTGCAGCGAGATGCTTCCCCAGCTCCTGCGAGCCGCCGGCAGCAAGCGAGAGCACAGTACAATTGCTTGCCGTCGGCTGGATGGCGAAGAAGTCGGCTAGAGCGTCGAGCGCGTCTCTCTCCCACGCGTCGTCGTATCGGTAGAGATCGACGTTTCGAAGTCTCTGCGTTTTTTTGACAGTCAGTTCACCGATGGGGTTTTCAAGTCGAACAGATCACACACTGATGGGCATGTATACCTCGTTCTTCAGGGGGCTGAACTTTTCCGGTCCGAGATTCTGAAAGTACTCGTTCAGGTACTGGTAGGGCAGATCCGAGCAGATGAAGACGCAGTTGATTTCGCCGTCGGGGCCGGCTAACTGCGACAGACTCCCGTCTTGCTTCTTCTTCTCCAGACGCTGAAACAGGCCCTGCAGGGTGAAGCCGGAAGACGGCCCGCACACGATGCCCTGTCTGGTGAGATCCAAGGAGAGGCTGTACGACTCTTTTGCTCCGACTTCCTCCAGGGCGTCGACGGCGGCCTTGTAGGGGAACTTGACTTCATTCATGAGAGAGTATTCCCGGGGTCCAGGAACTCGTTCCCCGGTATTGGTACAGACGCTGCATGGGGAGGAGGGCCGTCAATATTCGTTGGACGACGGAGGAGCCGAGAGACAAGACTTACGCAACTCGGTAAACCGACGGTTTAGCTTGCTTGAAGTACGTGCCGAGACCAGTCATTGTGCCTGGTCCGCCTTGGTCAGTATTGACAATCGGTCGAACCATTCAGGATACACCAGCCTGTCAAGTAATCTT